CCACCATATTTATTTTTTAAAAATCTTTTATATATCCCTCCATGGCATATTTAAAGGGGTCATATAATGCCATTTTTGTACAAGCTAATATGATTCTTTAGGGTCTAAATTAAAAGTTTGTAATATACTTTAATTAAAAATTCTCATTAGTATTGTAAGAAAACACTTATTTTACCTGGTCAAAAACAGCTCTGTTTTCAGCACGCCGTTTCAGTGCATATGACTTTAAATGATCATGAGCTTTGCTGACTCCGCCCCTCTGTTTTATGCATACACCAGAGCTCTGGCGTACACCATTTGTAACTCAATAACCATAACGCGTTGTTCAGTATAAACGTGGGATTATGAATTATATTGAGAACGTCATACATAGAAAACATGCCGTAATGTACCCTGAGTGTAAACCTTAGACGCATTCATTGTGAAGCGTGCAGCTAGCGATTTGCAAAGATTAATATTAGGGATGCACGATATAGGATTTTGGCCGATATTCGATATGCCGATATTTTCAGACTAATTTTGCCCGATACCGATACCGATATATTTGTGTGTTTTTTTTTAAGTGCAAAAAAATCTTATTAAAGCTTCTATTAAAGTTCTCAGTCAAGAGCAGTGAGTGATTTCCTCTTTGTGTTTTGTTGTTTTATTAACATTAACGAGATAGTTCTCCCCAAAATTTAAATTGTCATCATTTACTCTCTCAAGTTTCTTTCTTCTGTTGAAATTATAAAAAGTTATTTGGAAGAATGTGGCTAACCAAACAGTTGCTGTACTTCAGTGACTTCCATAGTATATTTAAGCACAAGAAAGAAATGAATACAGGTTTGGAACAACATTAGAGTGAGTAAATAATGACAGAATTTTTATTTCTGGGTGCAGTATCTCTTTAAGGACAAGCGGCAGCATATTATACTGTCTCTTTAAGAACTGCACGCGACGCGTCTAATATACACGCATTTGACAAGCAGATTTTCTCTGTTTGCTTTCACTTTAGACATAACCAACTTTGTTTATGTAAACCGTGTGTGTATTTGACAGTATCAGCGCAATAAGACTCGAAAGATTAGTCCAGTATGCATGCAGACTCTGTGACAGGCTTTTAGTTCCTGTGAGCATCGGGTGTAACGCGCTCAGAAAAGCGGATGTTAGAACAGCGTATCAGCACGTGAATGATATGTTTACCTAGCAAGACTTTGACGCACATGCAAATAATGAACTTTTGTGAATTGCGGTGTCCCGTGACCGTGAGTGTAACTCTACCTCTGCGTTAACATGTGATGTGGTGTGAATGTACGTCGCGTTGTACAGTATGTTGAGATGAAGGCGCCAGAATTGAACTGATAGAATGCACGATACTATGATTTTTCTTCAAAAGCAGATCGTGGAGACATTTTAATCGTCCACGATCAAAAACCGTGAGACGCACACCCCTAGTTGGAAGTTTTGCTGGCGCTCATGCTTCGTTCGCGTCACGTGCGCATAGGAAACACGCCACCCTATCGGCAAGGCTCATCGGCAGAAATATTCATATCGGCCGATGCCGATGATGGTCATTTTAAGCTTTTATCGGCCGATACCGATGTTGTCCCGATATCATCGTGCATCCCTAATTAATATATTAATATAAAGTTTAATAAAACGTTACACTCACTTCCGTTCTTCTGGAGATTCAGCAGGAACACGAATATCTGGTAGCAGCTACCGATCCATTTTTCATGAGCAGCAGCTTAGCAAATCCAGCTTTATACTGATCCTCGTCTATAAAGCAGTCTGGTGAGAAATGATTCGCGCAAACATGAACGCATTGACGTTGCTCGTGGGGAATATTCCCTTCGAAAACAAACACAGCCACTGCGTCTTCAGCGGTTCGGATTTAGGAACATTAAAATGACTGCTGTGTTCGTTATTACACCCAAGAACAGAACACCACAATCGCTTAGACGCCATTCTGCTCATAGACAGTGCTCCAGCATGTCAACAATGACCGCGCCGGTCCGCGCAGACTATGATTGACAGCTCTCTCATGGAGCTGATCTCACCCGCGAGGGCGGGTCTGTGTTGAGACGCTCCTGTCAATCAACAATCGTGGGAGGGGCTTCCGAGCGTGTGACGTCACACGGTCGAACGGCTCGATTTTTAGGCAGGGGAAAACATATAAGGAGATTAAAACAAAACCACTGGATGGATTTTTATCATTATATGATGGTTGTGTACAGACACTGCCAACACACATTTCAGTACAATCAACTTGTAAAAGTGCATGCACCATTATATGACCCCTTTAAAGGGATACTTTACCTCTGGAAAGATGAATGTGTATTTAAAATGGGTCATTTATGTAGTAGAAATGTGAAATTATTTTTGAATTTGGAGCCTTTTAGACTGAGAAAAGACAGAAAACGTATTTTTGGCTTATGGGCATGAAAGAAAACAACTCCCAGAATCCACTTGCTTCGCTGCCCTAGGAGGCCACTCCCAAGCCACGGCTACCGGCAAGAGAGCGCAGTTAAACAACAAGGCTAAGCTACTAGTGAGTCTCCGTGACGAGTCTGACGGGGATTTTGTGATCGCCCAAAATGTCCAGGATTAGGCTTTTGCGTTCTAAATTCGCCATTCATCATGTTTACTGTGGCGAGCAGGACGAGGCTAGGGCCGCAGGAGAACGGCGCAAGGCCGGTGGCGTAATTACTGATGAGCGACACCTGTGAGACGCACCGGTCTCGTATCTCTTACGGAGGAGCGGGAATTTTCTTAGCAATGCTACCGATCACTTGTTTAGCGTTCAATGAATGGCAACTGCAGAAAGCAAAAGCTGAATTCCGGACATTTTGGATGATCTCGATGGCCGGACATGTCCGGGAAAAAGAGGATGTATGGTAACCCCTACTACTCAGCTTTCTCCACAGAACAAGAGGCTGTTAGCTTAGCTTCCAAATAAAAGATGGCTGAAACTATTTTGTACATTCTGTGAGTGAGATCCCACCCTCTATGGGCGGGTTGAAAACATGCGGAACAGCTCCTTCTACTGGCTGTAGTTTTTATCCTCTGGCCAAAAAATCCTCAGATGACGCAAAATGACGTTTTTTGCGTCATCGGAGGATTTTTTCCAGACAAAAAAATACATAAATTTCTCGTCTCAGGGGAACATGAGGGAGGAGAGCATGGTAATTCGAAAATACTACAGGTTTTCTACTGATACAAAGCTTAATGCTAAATCCTGAAGTATCCCTTTAAGTACCACTTGAATGCTCCTCGACGAGAGATGGTCCTTCTGGTGTCCAAAATGTATCAAAAACATCTTGGGACAAGAATGACACTGACAGCTGTCATAGTAAGACAGTTAGCAACTCTGTTAGTTTGTCCGAGTTAGCAACAGTAACTAAGGGGGGCGGGGCATACCAGTCAATTTTTGGCAAGCTTTAGCTGCCGGACAGATGGCCTCAGAATACTCTGGTATGCAGAGGAGTTCATGGTCGACTCAATGACTGCAAGGTGCCCAGGTCCTGTGGCTGCAAAATAAGCCCAAATCATCAGCTCTCCACCACCATGCTTGACAGTTGGTATGAGGTGTTTGTGGTGATATGTTGTGTTTGGTTTTTGCCTAACATGGCACTGGGCTTTATGGCAAAACATCTCCACTTTGGTCTAGTCTGTCAAAAGGACATCGTTCCATTAGTCTTGTGGGTTGTTCAGATGCAACATTGCAAACATAAGCCCTGCTGCCATGTACTGTCATGAACTTTAACATGCTAACTGAGGCCTGTAGTATGGAAGCATGTATCCACCACATCTCGACAATCTCACAATTCTGACTTTTTTCTCACAATTGTGAGTTTACATTTGCGTGATTAAGTCGCAATTGCAAGCTTTAAAGTCAGAATTGCGAGATATAAACTCACTATAGCGAGTTATAAAGTCAGAATTGCGTGATATAAAGTCGCAATTGCGTGTTATAAAGTCAGAATTGTGAGATATAAAAAAAGTCAGTCTTTTTTTCCTCAGAATTGGACTTTATAACTCGCAATTGCGAGTTTATATATCACAATTCTGAGAAAAGAATTCAGAATTGCGAGCTAAAAACTCGCAATTGCAAGAAAAAAAGTCTAATTTTATAGTTTATTTCTCACAATTGTGAGTTTATATCTCGCAATTCTGACTATAGCACGAAATTGCGACTTTATATCACGCAATTCTGACTTTATAACATATATTTATAGTAAACTCGCAATTGTGAGATAAAAAGTCGCAATTGTCTTATAAAATGTTTTATTCTGTGGCGGAAACAAGCTTCCATACTGTAGAGTCTGAGATGTAGACTTGGGTTTTTTGCATTTTCTCTGAGCACGGTCTGTTCTTGGGGTTAATTTGCTGGGACGTCGTCCACTTGGAAGATTGGCAACTGTCTTGAATGTTTTCCACTTGTGAATAATCATCGTCACTGTAGAATAATGGACTTCAAATTGTTTAGTAAATGGCCTTGTAACCCTTCCTAGATTGATGGGCAGCAACAATTGCAATATTGCTGATGTCTTTCCTCCTTGGCATTGTTAACACACACCTGAATGCTCCAGACCAGCAAACTGACAAAACTCCTGCTTTTATAGAGTTGGTCACACTTGCTGATGATCAATTAATCCAAGGCATTTGATTAGCAGTGCCCGACTCCTACTTACTCTCTTAATTCCTATGGAAGCAGTACGGGTGTACTTAATTTGTCACAAATGGTTTCTCCATTTTGGCTTAGTTTTTGTTAAATAAACCATGACATGGTGTAATATGCGTCCCAGCGTCATGTGTTTTAGTTCATCTGAGGTTGTATTTACCTAATTTTAAGACCTGCCAAGGGCCAGAGGATTTTTTATTATGTCTGATACATAATACCATAGAATTCAAAAGGGTGTACTTTCTTTTCCACATGACTCTATAATGTGTGTGTGTGTGTATTGTATTTGCATGTTCCTGTGGGCAAATCGGTCAAAGAATAAGAAATGCACACGAACCTCAGCAAGTCGTGCAAACTTCCTCTCCGGTATAACAGGTCGCCTCCACAGGTTGTTAATATTAATGTCAGTTGGAGGTGGAGACATAGGCCGCTCAAGATTATCATCATAGCTGAAAGCTCGACGGGTCATGCCGACTGGAATGGACATCCCTCCGAGGAGTCCCTCTGAGGAACCTGGACCTGCTTCCAGGGCTGAGGTAAAAGAGCAAAACAACAACATCTGAACAAACACATTATTTGATACATTTAAAAGTAGAAACTGGTGTGATATAACCATCTACAATCTATTAAACGTATTGCAAATGTAGGTTGATGTTTAATACCCTTGACCCCTTTCACTTTATGCACTGCAATGTGTAACATAAATAAAGTCTAAATCTCTCCTTTACCTGGAAGGTCTCCAGGTCTGGACACCATGGCTACTGAATGAAGTGTTTCTGTTAGACCAAAAAGTGAAGACAGCCTGGACAAACCCAATCAAAGGAGACTGGATCAAAACTACAGATGAAATCAAGAGGAACAAGGAACAAGTTACACATTAACCAAGCAATATTTGATTTTAAGGCCAAAGAACCATTCAACAACCTCAGATTAATCATTAAAGAGACACAGTTCTAAAATCCTTTGGTACAGTGTTCAATTGACCCTCTGCATCATTGTGCAAGTGACTGACCACACAACATCATTACCAATGAATCGAGTGGCTGAAATTCCAAAATCCCAGATATTATACAATTTCTTACAACATTACATTTATTATCATTGTTGTATGTAAGGAATATCATACATTACAACCAAGACATTTTTTCATCCATGTTTTAACTAATATAGCAAGTATACAAATTCTATTGTGCGGCACCTGATTTAACAAAAATAAAAATGCAATGTTTTGTTTTGTTGTAATTGACTTTGGATTTTAAAGGACTTTTTTAACGTTTTAAGAATTCATTTCATACAAACAAACAAGTAATGGTTACATTCATTCATGACGTCTGACAAACACATGAAATGCATTAACTTGACCATTAATGGCATGAACCGAATTTTGTTTTAAATACTGATGTCGAATGAAATGGAAAAAAACACTGTCATAATATTTTTGGCCATATTGCCCAAACCTATTCACACAATTTCCAAAACATGTGCTGTCCACTTTTTAACCATATGTTACTTACCATGTCCAAGATAATGATACTTTATTTAAGACCCTATTTAAATCTTCTTTATCATGCCTTTTTCAATAACAAATATGATTGCCTTTGAATAAATTAATAAATGTAGGTCATGTGTGGAAGTACTCTAAAGTAACTATGTATATCCAATACAATATGCCTTTAATTTAGCATTATAAACATGACATTATTTCCTAGCTGAGTTGTCTAGGCATTAATGTTTAGATATCAAAAGCATATTTGTTCGTCTCTTACCTGTTATGGGCGGCTGGATCACCACTGCTAAAGCACAGGTTGATCTTGCTGACAAGCTGAAGTTTGCTCAGTCAGCATTGTGGGACGCCAGGACTAGCACAGCCAGTATAAGACAGAAAAAGCTGGAGAAACACGAGGAACTTATGACTGACTGCAAGACAAACATTTTGTCTGAGAAGATACCACGTGTGATAAGAAATGCATCTGAACACGGTCTATAATAAGACTAAACACCGTTATTATAGTGATAACGCAATGCTGGGAAATGGATCACACCAGTCTGTCCGGATGATGTTATGTAATGTTGTTCACTTTCACAGTAACGTTACTGTTTTCCGCTAACTTGTGTCAAAAGCCAACGCACTAGCGTTAAACACAACACACATCTGTTATCAAAACATTATTTCGGCTAAGTTTGAAACTAGAAAAGGAGCAATAACTGAAATACTGAATAATACCGCACATTTGGACAAATACGACAATATTTGTTGAATGGTATGTAAATGAGCCTACTAGCTGTTCAATCCAGTTTCGGCGACCTGCTGAAACCGGTTTGAGGGATGCGCTGGCGAGCTCAAGCCTTCCCGCACCTTCTCTACAGCAGCTAACAGTCCAACCGAGGTACTGAGGACACGTTTAACCGAATGGTTAAATTACACAGCACATATGTTTGACAAGAGTTAGCATTTCTATCTGCCATAACTTCAACTTCCTTTAGGTCTCTGACAATAAGCCAACCACGACAACACAACTGGGGCTGCAGTCCCCCAATCTCGCGATATTTTGATTTGTTATTATCATCACAGCAACTGCTGCAGTACTTCAACTAGCCGCACGAGGCAGTAAAATACCTAAAATAAATACACAGCAGCTATCAGAATCAGAAAGAGATGTATTGGCAAGTATGTTTACATAGCTAATTATCTTAGCTATGAAAGTTAAATCACCCAAAAATTTGTTATTATTTACTCACCTTCATAGTAGCAAACCTGTGTAGGCTACTGTTCTTTTTCGGCTTTACATGACTTCTTATTTAATACATCCCTTCTACAGTAGTAAAAGCCAATGAAGAGAACTGCAAGTCCTCAATGAACAACCAGCTGTCAACCAGGTGATTAAGATTTATTCCACCTATTCCATGAATACCTATAGTTCTCATTTCATCGACATTATTGGATTTCTATAATCTTTCTGGTAGGCTATTGTATAAATGCTTTGTTTCTGCTGTTTTCTTTTTCTTTTCTTTCCTCTTTTTTCCCCAATTTTCTTTCCTCTCTTTTTGCTTTTAAGGAATTAGAAGATTGTTACTGTATGGGCATACACACACCACCACCACCAAAATGCAGTAATGGCACCAAACTAACAAATGCATGTGATTCTTCAGTGATTAGTAAGAAGCTTTTGTTTCCTTTGACGCCCTCTGGAAATGTAGGGCCTCATGAACTCACATTAGGGCCCCCAAGGAACCACATGAAGCCACAAGTAAGTAGGTTATAATTCCCCCTGCCAGGGCTGTGGTGGGTGGTGCAGGGGACCCTATAGCGCCTTAAAGGAGGGTGTTGTGGTGTGCTGGTGTTTGGTGGGGGGTGTGGCACGGGAATTAACACAAGGGGGCTGGGGTGGTTATTCTCTCTAATCAAATGAGCTTAAATGGTTTATAGCGCCCCACCAAATCCCAACACACATACAAAATAGCAAAGAACATACATTTCATAAAATTAAGCATACCATAGTAAAACAGTTCAGTAATTTACAAAGCTCATTAAAAACTCCAAATATATTTAACTGTGTAATAAACCAACAGAACTGATATGGTATGTATGAACCTTGTGTTGTTGCGTTATCTCATATCTGAGTCACCTTCACAGTAGGAGATTTTTCATCTTTTTCAGCTCCTTTACACATGGGGTTCCTCAGGGGTCTGTTCTATAACCATTGCTGTTCCCTCTTTATATGCTTCCTCTGAGCTACATTATTCAGAAATGTAATATCTCCTATCACCTAATATCCGTTGCTAAGCTAATGATACCCAATTTTATTTACCTATTAACTCAAACTAGTATGTTGGAGTGCTTTGAGGAAATGAAAACCTGGATGGCTAGTTACTTTTCGCAGCTTAAAAAATCCAAAACCGAAATGTTGATCCTAGGCTCTCCTAGCTCTGCCTCATCTAATGCTCAGTCCCATGTAAAAAACCTGTCTTGTTCAACACATTCTAATAGACCTTATTCACATGCAGCACCATCTTTGATTTTTAACGGGAATGAAAGCGAGGCTGTGAGGGATAGACACACATTTCTTCAGTGGGTTGTACTATTATTTAATGTGTTTCTGGATTGTTCTGCTGACAAAACACTGCAAAATATCTTTCCAAGAAATTTCAGTACAAAAAACTCCAGACAACATGAGTTGTGGAAAATTATAAGTGATCTAGCAGCTTATACAGCAGATGCCAACACGATAAGTCTTTCCCTCACAGCCTCCTTTTCATGGCGCTGCTCTGAATAAGCTCTATTATTTTAATAAGCAAATCAGTGTAGTGCTTAGGGGGAGCTTTTTCCATCTTAGGGCTATCACTTTCTTATCCAGGAAAAGACTTGGAAATAGTGATTCACTCTGTCATGTATGATGTGTACTTGTTGTTTTGTAATAATGGAGTGAACGCTGTGAGGTGCTATTTATTACATCAAGGCTTGACTACTGCAACACTTTTTGTCGGTCTACCTAAATTGTCTCTTGGCTAGTTACAGTTGGTGCAAAATGCTGTTGCTAGAGTCCTAGCAGGGACACAAAAGAGGGAGTACATTACCCCAGTTCTTGCCCAAGTGAAGTTATGTATTTTTTTTTTAAGATTCTGTTGTTTGTACAAGGCTTTGTTTGGGCTAGGCTGGGCTCATCTTATGTTAGTTGTCCCCCATTCTAAATATAAATATAAGGGAGATAAAGCTTTTGCGGTTACAGCCCCAAGTCCCCTTTTACACATCAGGTATGTTCCTTCGTCTAGTTTTAAATCAGTTTTTAAAATGCACTATTATTCTTGAATTTTATCATTGATTGATATTGTGTGGATGGTTTATTTGTTGGTTTATTGAATCTGTGCAGCTGTAATGAATTCCTGAATTCTGGTTTGTTTTGTCATGCGTTAGCTTGCCTGTGTTCCTTTTGTATTGGTTTTGCTCGTGTTCTAATTCTGTTTCCTGGGTTTGTATTTGTTTTTGGCCATCTTTAGATTGTTTGAGCTGGCTGATAGTTTGCCAGCTCAGCCCTGGAGTTTCAAACCTATTGCTCCGCCCAGACCCTCCAAGCTCGTCACTCCACCTTGGCCTGTTAACTAGTCAGCTCCACCTTGGCTCGTCGCCCCCTGCGGCTCCACCGGGCTTCTTCGTCCCTCCAGCTCCGCGTTGGTCTGTCGTCACTCTGCCGTCACCATGGACTTACGGGCCTCCGTCTGTGACTCGTCCCTCCACCCCTTTGGCTCCACCTCAGTCTTCGGGCACACCAGCTCCGCCTCAGTTCTCTGGCAGTTCTGGCTTGTTTTGTCATGCGTTATCTTGCCTGTGTTCATTTTGTATTGGTTTTGCTCGTGCTCTAATTCTGTTTCCTGGGTTTGTATTTGTTTTTTGCCATTTTTAGATTGTTTGTGTGTCCAGTATCGGCCAGGAAGGCCATTTTATAACCCCCTGCCCACACTGCCCAGTCCTTCAGCCCTCTCTTCACTGCCTCACATAAGCCCTTCGTCTCCGCCTACGCTCCCTGTTCAGTACATTGTGAATCCGCCTTGGGCTGATAGTTTGCCAGCTCCTCGTCCATCCGGCTCCGCCTTGGTCAGTCATCACTCTGCCGTCACCATGGACTTACGGGACTTTGTCTGTGACTCGTCTCTCCACCGCTTTGGCTCCGCCTTCCCTCCGGCACCACCTCAGTCCTCGGGCGCACCGGCTCCGTCTCAGTCCTCCAGCAACCTGGCTTCGCCTCAGCTGCTCGTCCCAGTGTCTCCGCCTTGGTCTTCAGAGTCTTCTGTGGTCGCCAGCTCCGTCTCAGTCAGTCTTTCCCCTGGTTTCGCCTGCCAAGTCTCCACCATGGCTCCTCCCTCCCTCAACCCTGTGTCCAGGGCTGCGTTCCAGTCCACTTTTAGACACGCACTTGCGAACTTCCCTAAGCACTTCCCCTCGGGGGAATCCCTCCCGACATTTTGAAGTGCGTTCTACTTCGTGAAGTGGACGAGGGAAGTTTATATGGACAGACACTTGTTCCCTCGATTTTGACAGAGGGAGCGAGCCTACTTCATATGTACACTTCAGGCAGCTCCATATACCACAATGCAACACAATTGTGACGTCACCGCAGATCTTGTCTAATCACCACCACCACAAACAACTCTGATATATTAATTATATATATTTTTAATTTAAAACAACCCAAACACACCTATATACATTTGGATGCTGCATTAAACAAATTCTTAAAGGAAAACAAAATTTAAATAATAAATCAACTCCATGGCTGATTCCAAGTGATCAAGGGCTTAGGACGTTCCAATTCAGCCAATTGCAGTTTCCGCCAGTAGTGGGCACTCCTGCAACGTAAGCAATGACGTACATCCGAGTGAACAAGACAGAGGGAAGTTAGCGAGTGAAGGGCATGACAACTTTGGACTGGAACTCAGCCCTGGTCGTCCTTCTGAGGGTTCTGTCCACCTTTGTCTCCTCCCTCCTCTTAGAGGTCCTATCCAGTCCTGAGTTCTCGTTTGTTTTGTCAAGTGTTATCTTGCCTGTGATTGTTTTGTATTGGTTAAGCATGTTTTCTAGTTGTTTACTGAGTTTGTATTTCTTTCTATGGATTTTCTTTGATTTGATCATCATGTGCACCCGTTGTTCATTTCATTGATTAGTTTGCCTGGCTATTTAAGAACTGCTCTTTCGTTCAATGTCTGTTTTCATCTGATTTACCAGTTGTTCTGTTCCAGTAAGTATCTTGAGTGTTTTGTTTGGAGTTTCTGGTTTATAAAATAAAAACAGCTGCATTTAGATCTGTTTTTATTATTGCAACCAAAGCTGACAGCCGCACTTACACAACAGGTGTTGTATTTAAATTAGCTTTTAAAAAAATGTATTGCTCCAATAAGGACAATCTCTTTACTTTAAAGAAGCAGCTCACTGCTATGTTTTAGCAATTTACAATAAGTTACATAAAAATACTAATAAAAATACTTAGTATTAAACACAATAGTAATGTGTAGTCACATTATGGTATTGCTGTTTGGTTGCTAAGCCATAATGCTCATTAGCCTTTTTGTTGATCAATAAAATTGATTTAAATCTATTGATATAATAAGTCGTTTTGTCTGATCAATATTATAACTAATGGAATAGACTACAAATTGTCTCAGAAGACTCACTGACTAACTTTTTAATCTAGTTGATGGAACAGAAATCCCCCCAAGACACCCCACACACAACAAAATCCATACATAAAACAGACATTTTATTAATTTTAAAAAAGTGGGGGGGAAAGTACAAGGTTGCTGAAAATGTACTACAGATTTTCTTCTTTCAAATCATTACATCCATAATAATAATTCAAAGAAATGTATTATGCATGAATACAAAATAATTTACAAATTCACATGCAACCGTACCAATTACTCTTTAACAGTAAGACAATCTCAAAATACTGAAACACCAAATCAATGCAGAGAAAACCAGTTTTTCTGGGTGTGTACAAACAGTCTTACAGGATAACAGTGCAGTTCTACATTGGCCTTTTGCCATACTGTACATGTGAATATCAAAATTATGTAGGTCAGATTTTACATTTTATTTTCTGTTGTTGAACAAAGGTGATTCCTAACCAGGACATTTAATCATTTATCCTCTTACCAGACTACTCAGTTCACTCTACAGCTGTCACACCATGTTCCATTTTTAAACTGCAAAACAAGGGCCTGAAAACAAACATAATGGCTGTTTTCAACACGATCTCATGTCATTTGTCCTTTGTTGTCAGAAGATGGAATTATCATAGCTTGTTGTGTAAATACCAATATATTAAAGTGAACTAAGAAGGGTTTGAGACTATATAGAAATTAGAGTTGGACATAATATTTATTTATTATAGAGAAAGGTACCCTAATCCAAGTCAGATCTTTTGCTGAACCTGTTTCCCAAAAATCTTTGAAATGCCATCAAATGTTCAATAATATTTCAAGGAAGCTTGGCATATTCATTCTGCATCACAGTAGCTGCCTAATATGCGAATTTGCTAAAACCCGGGTGCTCAAAAAAGTGAGATTCTTATCTGTGAATATTATGCATTTCTGTACCACTAGTGTTGCGTATATTAGAACTGCAATTGCAATTGTATATTAGACCTGCAAAAATCTCACTAAACAATGTTAAAGGCATCCAAAAATCAATGCGTTTATTGATCACGACTGGACATTACTGGACTGACTCAGTCTTATCATTGACATTCATGGTAACTCTACACTATGGTGTGGTATCGACATGGCACCATCTATAGGATTACGGTTTTAAAAATACACCAAAAATGTATATGCATATAAACCTGAAGTGCAAAGTCATAATTCCAAAATAATCCACGTTACTCTACGTGATGTTTAGCCTCACCGGAAAGAGATTTTAGCAAAAGCAGATTACTTCTCGGCGATGGCAGGCAGCATGCAAGCGCGAATGCGGGCTTCCTTCCACGCGCTGCGGCATTCTGCGATCCAGTGGGACACTATGGTCTGTTTGTCCATGCAGCGACTGCTCTTTCCCCTCCAGCCAGCAGGGGCGCTGTCGAGCTTGTTGGGAATGCCGCTGCACGCAGCCAGGCCCCCGTCGTCCAGCTTCTTCCTGCTGAGAGGTGACCGCTGCAGGACCGTCGCTGCAGTGACTGTCTCGGCCAGGCAAATCTCTGGGCAGCTGCTCTTGCGCGGGGCGTCAACTGGCGAGGAACAGCACGGGTAGGTGTCGCTGCGTGGCCGACGCGGAGGAATGCTCCCCCTTCTGGTGGGGAGCGCTATCGCACCTCTGTGGCTGTAGAGGTACTCCAGCGGATCTGCAGGGCTTGGGACGTCATCTCTGCATCCGTTGTCCTCCTCTGGGGTGGCTTGGGCCTGCAGTGGTTCTGATGGAGCAGATCTGGTGGTCTCTTTCTCTTTATTAACTTGTTCAACTGTCTGGTCGTTGCTCGTGGAGGTGTGGGGCAGTGGAGACTGCAGATGCTGGCGCAGGCGTTGCAGTCGTAGGCAGGGCTTTGGGGAATCCAAAGGGCCGATGGAGAGGATGTCACAGTCGGGCTCATGCAGAGGGAAGGTAGGCCGGGCCAGATGGCAGATGGAGAGGAAGTAGTCCTGTGTGGTGGTGTGCTGACTGTTGGTCTGGTTCAGGTCCTGTACCAGCTCCTCATAGCCCTCCCTGATGGTGGGGAGGCCCCGTTTAGCCAGTAATCTGGACCTGGGACGCATGACTGTAAAAGCGGAAATAGTGCTTAATTAAATAGATATGTACATGATAGGGAAAAAAAATGGGTAACTCGTTAGTTTAGGGTCCAATTCTCACTATTAACTAGATTATTAGCATGCATATTGCTATTAGCCGTTTACTTATAAAGCACATATTAATGCCTTATTCTGCACAACCATAATCCTTCCCAAAACCCAAACTTAACTACCTTACTAACTATTAATAAGCAGTAATTAGGAGTTTACTGAGGCAAAAGTCATAGTTGGACCCTAATCTAAAGTGTGACCGAAAAAACTAAAAATACATAGAATATCATGATAACACCTTACGATGTGGTCCCATTAGAGAACTTGCTTTCCCTAACATTAACTAACAAAGCAAGACATTTGCTACAGTATTTATTAATTAATCAAATTCAACTGTTCATTGTTAGCGCAGGGCCATTAAATAATATCAGATAAATGTTAAAATTAACAAACTAAGATTAATAAATGTTTTTGTAATTTTGTTATTGTTAGTTCATGTTAACTAATGTAGTTAACATTAACTACTCATTGTAAAGTGTTACAGATTACTTTAATATCTCAGTTGTTTCGACATAAGCAATGAGATTAAAATGGAGAGCAAATGGAGACTTCGCACTTCAAGGTGTGGTCAAATTTGGGCAAAAACAGTCTTTCGTCAATAGTGTAGTGATGTATGATGCACAGTTCACACAGAAGTCAAACCAAGCAGCTTTCTGTTGGTCAACGTGACAAATCTGCATGACAAGCTTGAACCGGTTGCAAAATCTGCTCTCAGATCACACCGATTCCTATTGAAATGACTATTTTGTCTGTGAAATTCGCTTAACAATATATGTGACATCTAAATCTCTTGGTTAAAAACATTAAGGTTTGTTACATGAAGTATTATTCTTCTTTTAAATCAGCTGTGGAGGCAGCATAGGGTGGGAATGTTCGACACGGAGCGCTGCCCCCACACATCATGCCATTCCTCATATCTAACTGTTCCAGCGAAATCACAAAATATACTGCAACCAAATACACCACCGTTACTGATATACATCTGCTGACAAACAGAAATGAGACGGAAATGTTTATAAAAATATATTTGAAAAAATATTAATATGTTTTATAAGTATTATATCATTTTATATACAAAATTGTTATTAAAAAATATAATTTACTATAAACCCATTTGCATGATATGCTCAAGACAGGAATCACTGTTGAAATATTCCTCAAATTCAAATGATCTGGTCTATGATATCCACATTATTAGTATCCTCGTACTATTTCTGGTTCTCTTAAGGCATTTGAGACAATTTGAGACAAAGTCTATTCAAGAGAATTCCTGATCTAGGAAAGAAAAACCTCCGAATACAACTTTCTCTAGGGAACCATAACAACATATATTCGCAATTCGCAGCCATATCATTTGGTTTAAAATAAGGTTCCTTTAGTAAACATTAGTTAAGACATTGACTAATAATAAGCAATACATGCAGTATTTATTCATATTTTTTTTATGTTAGTTAAACATCATTCTTACAGATATCAAATTACCAGCATACACACATACTCTCACTCACAGACCTCTAATGCATCTCTTATTGGCTTTGACCCACATTATTTCTGTATTCATAATTAATAACAGCATCATTTCATAAGTTTTTATTACCTGCTCAATCCTTCCTTAATGATGCTCTGTACAGTAAATGCCAGCTAATCAATGTATATAATAGGAGGGATTGGTTACAGGAATATGTGCAAGCCCAGTCTCCATGACAACGCCTCTTCCCATCACTTCCCAGGCTGTGCTCAGATTTCACAGCAATCGGAGAGCACATACATACACACCGTGAAGCAGCTCCTACACCACCCCCTGCCGCCCCATGCCCAAATCATCTGAACACCCCTCTTTATTGTGGCGGACCAATGTAAACAACCCAGCACCAATTCCCACCCATCCCTATTTTCAAATAATTTCAGTTGCCTAAACATGCTTGGATTTTCCCAGGTCTCAAATGCTCCTACAACAATCTATGAAGGAAAAAAGAACTGCAACATACTTCAAGATCAAAGCAGATCTGTCTTACACACCTCATTACGACGGACATCTGGCACGGGTCGCTGTTTCTGACAACAATAGACACAATTTAAAGTATCTCTGGCCCTAATCCTAAAATAAATTTGGAATTGTCGGATTGTGTTATACGTGAAAACCTCAAGTATAATGTAACCATACCCTTCCCTGGTTTGTATTAAGGCCAGTGGTGCGAGTGGCGTCCCACCTGAGATGGGTCTCTCCGGCTGCCTGGTTTTGCTGTGGATCTGTTATTCTTCCTCCACTCCTCTCGTTTCGTCTCCTCTTCCCTGCCTTAGCTCAGAGCCTCCAACTGCTGCTACACACAAAAATAATGATTTTCTCCCGTCTCTCCCTCCCTCTTTCTCTGTTTGCTTGCTCGCCCTCTCCCGTGCGCCTCACTCTCTCTCCTCCCTTGGTCAGTGCTAAAAATAGCACCTTCGTTCCCGTCCCTGTGGCTGCGAAGAATCATTTGCAAAACGAATTTTACCGGTGTGGTGGGGAGAAAGAAACAGGAGAGGGGAAGAAGTTTGTAGTATGACAGTATGGAAAAATAGTCTGAGAAAAAAAAAAAAGAGAAAAAGAACCTCCTAAATCATACCCCTAAATGATGGATAATAAACAGATTGTGATTGACACATTGGATTAAAAGAACCCTAAAGTTAAAAAGGGACATGATGCATATCAGTATTAAAAATACACGAATTCTGTGGGAGACTCAGTTGGTCACACTTTACATTATGAACTAACATTAAATACAAGACTATGGATTCACTGTGTAAGTTAACTACATGTTGTTCTGGAAAATTTCCACATTTATATTTACAGGTTTAGGAGTGAAGGCAGTGTTAGGGTTAGGATTATAAGTGTTAGAGTTAGGTTTTAGGTTAATGGTTGTGTTATGGTTAGGGGTAAAGTTAACAGTGTAACTACAAATGTTAATTAAATGCAAGTAGTTCAGATGTAATTAATGCACTAACATGGTTAATAGTAGTTCTGTCATGACAACTCTCTGAGAGATTGTTATTTTAATGGATATGGCAATGTTAACGTATTTGGTCTTGGCGGAATAGATCTGCTACGCTGCTGCACATATAACATACATGAAATAACCCCCTGTAGCAGATCTATAAAGGTGGAGCTGGGGAAGGAGGAGGGTTTCTGGAAGCGCTTTGGGCTTAGGTTGAGCCGCAGCTCATTGGCTGCTGATGCCACAGCAACCAATCAGCTGTGCTATGTAGATAACGATGCGATCGTTAACAAACTGAGTTAAGGACCCATCAGCATGCGCCATCTAGTGTTTCATGACAGAACTTTGTATTTAAGCCCACCTAATATAAAGCGTGACCACACTGGTCCATTCCTGATACCAAGTCAACAGTCATAATTGAATTTTCCAATATCGTGCATTGCTCTCTCATGGTTGCTTTTTTACAAGGAGGAAATAAGCAAGTCAATTTTTAAGTAATTTTAGAGATATGCCTCTATTTTTGACCTTGGTTTGATGAGTGGTGCTCTTATCTTGAGTGAAGAGAGTGTTTATACAGCTATATATAGCTCCGTCTGCAGGTATATTGAGCCCTCAATGACCTTTCATCATGTTCACATTGCTGTCAAACAGTGGAAGGGCAGTAAACTTGTGAGCGTCAATCTAACAAACAGCACAACTGTATAGGTAGGTACTGTATACATGTAATTGAAAACTCAAGAAAATATACAGAGTAATCTTTTGTATATAGTAGTCCTTCTCAAGCCAAACTGACATACACTCTCAGAAAAAAAGGTATAAGCTATCACTGGGACGGCACCCTATAAAAAATTTCTATGTACCGTTTAGGTATATACATTTGGTACTAATATACCTTTGAGATACTAATATGCACTCTTTAAGTACAAAGGTGTAGGCTACCTTTTGAAAGGGTACTGCCCCAGTGACAGATTTTTGTAAATAAACATGTTTTTGTAGTGCAAAGTCTGTTACCTGTGATGGTAGATAGCTGTCCCGTATATTCCACGTTTGTTGGATGAACTGTTGTATCAGATGATATCGTCAACATAAGCTTCACAAAAGGTAGACTGCCCTGTTTAAGCCACAAACATCATGTTCAGTCTGTTTGTCTGATAAGGAAGGGTGTGAGGAAAAGAGAGAGGGAGTGGAAGGGAGGGACATGTTGAGAGGGAGGTGGTTGTTTTGAAGGTGGAGAAGTTTGGAAATAAGCATGTTTACAGACCAACCCTGTTAAGTTCAATATAAGGCCATTCCATTTATCTCACTTCTGGTCAGAGGTCAAATGAGAAGATTTTCAGCCTGCTCTGATTGAATTTTAAGATCAAGCGTGTATAACATGCACGACTCCGAATGACTGCAGAAAGGGCAACTAGACTTTAACATAAACAATACCAGATAAGGAACAGAATGAAACAGGTTTTAAATACAAGGAGCAAACAAAGGGAACTAATCAAGACCAGCTGAACAGAATGATTAATAAAGGGGTAACCTAGGTGACAAACTAGGAAATCAGATCAAATAATGATAGGGAAACAGAACTGAATCAAAACACACTAAACAAAACTATGAACTTGACAGATATTATATTATAGTTTTTTATTCATATTTTAAATACGTTTTATTTTTATATTTTCCATTTTCATTTTAGCTTTAGTAAATGTGTTGTGCTGAGTCTGACTATCTGTCTATAGTTTTTATATATTTTATTTCACTTATTTTATTTTAGTAAATCAAGTTAATAATGTAATAAATAAATAATGTCTTGGCAACTAGCTGAAATAAAGTAAGTTTAAAGTAAATAAAGTTTAAAATAAAGTAAAATATTTTAATTTAGTAACCCTGACTCAGGGATGGACTGGCCAAAGGAAGCACTGGGCCAGGTGCACCATACGTACTTTATTGAAAATGTCCTTTTAATTTTATTTAATCATTTAATTCATTATCAAAGACTTGAACATAGATCTCTAAGAACAAATGCAATGTCTCCACCCAAAAAATTACTCACCCTCATGATGTCCCAGATGTCTCTTTCTTCAGATAAACACAAATAGAGATTTCAAGAAAAACAATGGTAATAAATAATTGTCTATAATGGAACTGTATTGGATCCCCAAAGGTTGACACCTAAAAACCAACACAAAGTGTACATCAGGGGTGTTTAATACTGTTCCTGGAGATCTACCTATACCTTCACAATTCAGCTGCAACCCTGAACAAACACTACTGAACCAGATAAATAAGGGCTGTGTCCAAAAACTTAGGCTGCCTTATCAGGCAATGACGTATTGGCAGTATTTAGACACAAAGGTATACCTCACAAAACTGAATTCAGACAGACTTCTGAAGCAGCGTAACGTTCTAGACTAATGTGAGCATGCATTTACTCATCTCACTTGCACAAAAACAGATTCAGTATTCATCAAAATGAAGAAAAATTGTGAAATGCAAACAAATAGAATATTATGCAAACCTGCAATAATTAAATACAGATCTACTTTATATTTAATCCACTTTAACTATTGTGTTTGCTGCTGACATTCGATAATCCAGTTCAACCAAACCAATAAGCAAAAATAACTTTAGATAAGCATCACATTTGCTAAAGCAACACATTAAAAGTAACTGAGTAAGGTAATTAGTTACTTTTTTAGGGAGTAACACAATATTGTAATGCATTACTTTTGAAAGTAACTTTTTCCAACACTGCTTTTATCATTAATATGTAATGTTCTAACCGGCTGCTTTTGCAATAAAAACGGTGAATAGAAATTTAAGACATCAAAATGCAGTGAAAATCAATGGTTCTGGAAATTTGAGGAAAATCTGGAAATTCAGCAGTAAAAATGCAAAAATATTTAGAATTTTAGATGAAAGAGTTTTCCAATTATTTTTTTCAAAGTACCTCTGTCCAACAGCGACACCAATGAATAAATTTGTGGCAAATGGCAAAATTAAATATAGATAAAAACTCAAATGAGTGGAGGCAATGCTTCCACTTCACTGTAATTGGATGATCAATGCAATAATGCACACCTATCATGTCAGCAACTGCTCACAGCCTAAACTGGTCAAACTGGAGCAAATTGATGGATTAATTTAAGCTAAAAATTAATTATAGCTCTTTGAAATAATGGCCTGTGAGTTTTTTTTTTTTTTTAGTGAGTGCTCAGCTCAATTAAATAAAACTGCGTCTTCGTGCCTGTGACCATTTGTCCAAGTGTTCATGTACGAGTACTTCCAAATGCGGTTTTGGGGGATATGGAATGAAAGATAAAAATTATTAAGAGGAAGATGAGAGAATGAGGATTAGGAAAAGGTAATAAGTATAAGTATTATTAAAACAAGAATAAGATAAAAATAATAATATTCAGAAAGACTATTTGACAGAGTCTTCTGTGCTAAGTAGGTCGACCTGAGTCTGATGAAGGAAGAACAAAATGAGTGACAAGAGGGAATACATAAGAACTATGGAGCTTTATAATAAGGACGGGCAATAAGTGCTGAAAGACAGAAAACCATGGCAACACATGCGGATCATGCTACAAACTGAACTGCGTTGTCCTCAGTGAACTACAGTCACACCGAGCTGATATATTCTCATAGCCATCTTGTACTGGCAGTGACTCTCAGCAATGAAGAGATTCACACGTTTCTTTCATTTCCAGCACAGAACTGAATCATGTATGACTGCTCCATCTGCTCCAGGAGACCAAGCACAGTCACCATGAAATCAAAATGGACAATTCTTTTTTTCTTTCTCTCTCTGAACATTGCTGTCACACCCTGCGTCTCAATGTCCATACTATCCATCCTAAACAGTATGTGAGATTAAAATAAGTGTGTCCTAAAGCATAGTATGTTGAAAAGAGTATTTTCGAAGTGTTGATCTGTGCACACTATGGCTTGCTGTGCACACTACGGCTAATATTGCCCACCACAACCCATTGCGCTTTGGAAGAGGATTCAGTTCAGAACTACAAACACAAGTTAAAAGTGTTCAGAAAACTACAAAACATGGCGGATATGCGCGACCGACTGTGAGAGGTTTAGATAAGGGTTTGAGTTACTAATCAAAGTTTAACCTGATAAAAAAAACATTAATTTAATGTTATCCGTGTTATATTTCATCTTTTATTAAGATCCGTTTGGCCATTAACTAATTTGAGGAGAGTTCTCTGCATGAAAGACCTGCGACTGCAGATCAATGTGCTACAGCATTTCTCTCTGATATGGTAGGAAATAAAATGAAATTAAATGTGGAGGATTTTAACTGTGACAAGATGATTGACAGGCGAGTTTACGGTGACAGGATGCGACAGAGAGCAACCGTTGAAGACGCAATTGTATGACGTGATATGTCCCAAAGCTTGTGTACTCTTTTGCTACACACTCAAAAGTATCTACTTTTTCTTCACAAAAAGAGTACATACTTTTAGGGCGTAGTATAAGTAGGCGAATTGAGACGCAGCAACAGTCACACACCATTTGGTCTTTGTTTTTCAGTTTGCACAGTTTTCCTGAGTTGAGTTTTTTGTCATGGTTGTTAATTTGATTCATCATTTAGTTCAGGTGTGTCTCGTTAGTCTTGTTTGCCGGTGTACTTAAATTCCTTTATTTCTGTTCATTGCTGTTGGGTCTCATCTATGGTTAAATTGTGTTGGATTGCTGTTTTGTTTGTGGATATACCTGGATTTATTAAAGACGGCCTGTTTCTCTTCGTGTGCGTTCACAACACAGCGTTGTGATAGATAGAGGACCCGACCCAGAAGTGATTTACACTACGCATTGCATATTGAATGTTCTTTTCATCTCGTGTTTTTTTGGGCCTTTTTTTCACCATGGACAATCATCTCGCACATCTATCAAACTTCCCAGATGACTGTCTCTAATCTTTTCTGTGTATTATTATTATTTATTATTCATTTATTTGACATGGACATTGCAATTAAACATAGCACAAAACAAGTCTGTAACTGATGCTATGCAAAAAGAGTTTATAGCTATTGCTAATTTTCAACTCCAGTCCATGGCCTACAGTACTGGCCTAAACACAAACACCAAGGAGCAGTTGTCTGGAGAGGGCCCTCTGGGGATCTTCGCTAACTATGTGGAGTGGGTCCTGACATTCTGTGGATCAACGCTGACCATTGGAACAGCTGAAGATGATGCCAGTCCCTTTCCCAATCCAGTGCCCAGCCAGATACCATCTGATCTGACTGCGAGGAGCTGCAGCATGAACCCATCGCAGGCGAATCCGTCTCTGCCGCAATGTTTCAGCTAGCACCAACGGGAGCGACTGAGCAGAACATCACCCCCGAGCTGGAGCCATTAGAGTATGACCAGGGGCCTCATGTATCAACACTGCGTACGCACAAAAACACGGCGTACGTCAGCTTTCACGTTCATGGCCAGATGTACTAACAGTGAAATTAACGTAAGAATGTGCGTTCCTCCAATGTCTGGCGTACGTATATTTGTCGTGATTTTTGTCCGTTGGCGACTCATAGAGGCAATAAAGTGAAGTGGAAAACATTACACTACGAATTGTTCTATCGCACCACCAGCTGTCAGATATTGCTTATAATTTGTAATTGATAAATTATTTGACATATTATTGTCACACGAGTTTTATTAAAATATTATATTATGCAATTAAGTAAGAACATATATAAAGCATGTCCAAATTGATACAACCCGTCTAGCAATGGCAGCGTTGGCTTAACTAAAAAAAAATAAACTTCATTAATTCGGTCAGTAAAGATAAAAAAGAAAGTAATATTTTTATTCAGCAAGGACACATTGAAGTGACAAGTAAAAGTGACAGTAAATGCATTTATAATGTTACAAAAGATTATAAGATTTCGACATCTGTTTGATTTAAGTTTTTATTAATTAAAGAATCCTGAAAATACTATATCATGGTTTCCACGAAAATATGAAGCAGAAGCACAGCTGTTTTCAACACTGATAATAATCATAAATGTTTCTTGATCATCAAATCATTATATTACAATGATTTCTGAAGGATCACACAGAAGACTGGAGTAATGATGCTGAAAATACAGCTTTGATCACAGGAATAAATT